ATACTAAAGGCAACAGAAATACACACAAATTGATATCTTCATTGAGATATACCCAGTCGACATCCCTGCACAAGCACACAATGTAGCAAAGAAGCCGTGCCAACTCACTTTGAAAATCTGCGGCCCTCTCTTGTCATAACCAGCAATCATCGAACCCTAAAATGACTCAGCTACATGAAATATAAAAGAGCCAAACTCACAAAAAAACTTACCACAGATAGTCCCATGCCACGGTATCCATAAAGAACATTGGCAAAGTATTTGCTGGCAGCGCTCACAGTAATTTGAGTTTTTTCCCGTAGTTCAAACAGGCTGAATCACCATTGCACGATTACACCGCTTCAGAATTCAAGGCTAAGTCATAACTTACTTGCAGTACTTGGCAACAGTTCGCGTCCAAAATTGGCAGTCTGCAGCACCTCCGGCCATTGTAGCGACCATACGATCACCAATATCCAAAATCTTCATAACTGATTTCGAAGCTAAAAAACACGTTTTGTGCATGTGTTATTTCTGCTATTTGAACTTGAAAGGTCTATCAAAGCGGCCTAAAATTTCGAAAAATCGTAAACTACATAAGCTCAAGTTACAAGCATGTTTTTCTTTTGGATGGGTTGGCCAAGACAGAAATCAACTTCTTCCCTCTTCGCAGCGCGAAAATTTTCGCCGTGGCATCCCAAGACTATCATTGATTAGGAATGGACCTACTTCTTGCAGCGAGATAGCTTCGTGCTACGGAAAACGGGAAAATTGCCATCGTTAATCACACGCGTTCCCTACATGATGAAAAGAAAATATGCGATAGCACGTACAGATATATTCTCCAGAAGATGCCCGTGAATCGACAGCAACGATAATTCCACCCTTGTCATTAGCTGTAGCAGGCTCATAAATGAAAGCGAGAGTAGTTGTACCCTTCCGGAACTGCATGTTCTTGGCATCCTTACCAAAATGGGTTGCCACAAAGTCTTTCGCCTGAAATTGCCAATCTTGTAAAGTCGTAGGCAGCATAAGGTTAAAGCAAGAATCACCTGTATGCCCAGGGGAGGTTGTGGAAAAGCAAAAGAGCTTATTACTGGTTCATGCATGAATTGCTGCTTGATGACAGCTAGATCAGTAGATTCCTCGTCATGTTCATCGAAGCCGCAACCCCACATTCTGTTCAACAAAATTCAAAAGAAGCAACGAAATCACAGGGGTAGAGTTATATGAAAAACACTAGCGATAACTCAGCGCTTTCCAGTATTAACAAGATAATTGTTGGAAGATTCATTAAATAGTTGATCACGAACCTACTAGCAAGTATATGGCCCGATTGTCTACTAAGAATTAATACTAGCGAATTGATAAGGAAAAGCAAAAAAGCGACATTGTAATACTGTTTTAGAAATTCTTAACATACATAGCAGTACAGCGATTAAACACCCCACTTCGGTCGAACCTTTCAGGCAAGTGCGCAGTAACAATGATAGAATGACAATTCAAGGTGCCCAAGCTATACCAGAACTAATTTGGGTCAGCAAGAACTGCGTATCTTTAATAAATAACAATAAGACTTTCATGAACAAAGTGAAAAGTCCTCTAACAACATATTCAGCTAGTCCCGTTTCATCGGTGTCCAAGCCGCGGCTAGATGGTACGAAAAGTACATAGCGAATCCGTGGATTTGAAGAGCAACAGCGAAAAACACGTACCATATGATAACCATTGGAAATACTCCCTAAGAAACGGACTGTAGATCATATCGGACGAAATGAAAGTCAATGCAAATGAGAATTGGCGCAATGTGCTGCGGGGGGGGGGGGGAGGACGTAAGCAAACCAGCCCTTTTGGCACATCGGCTGGGACCGTATGCTGAATGTTGGGGAGGGGATGGGGTCCCCAACGGTCGACGGTTTACTTCAACTCGGTTGGTACGATAGGAGAGTACTGACGCAAGTGGTGCAGCTGGTCCAGCAGCTTCGCCAGAAGGACTGGTTTGCTCACCCTTGGACTAAGCCTAGAGGGGACGGACCCGTCCTCTCTTTAAGGCTTAGTTCTAAGGTAAGCACCAAATTGTGGCGGTTCTAAGGACCGCGTTGAAGTTGTCCGTCCACCGTCGGGGACACCATCCCCTCCCCAACATTCAGCATACGGTCCCAGCCGAATGTGCCAAAAGGGCTGGTTTGCTTACGTCGGGGGGGGGGGGCAGTCGCCGCGCGCGCTCGTGCGGCAACAGGAAATTCGTGAGCCAGGGGGAGTGTAGCCAATTCAGGGGGGTTGGGGGTGAGGGCAGTCACATGACGGTGAGGGCAGTCACGTGAGAAGCGTGAGAAGCTGGAATGTTCGAATTTCCTGTTGCCGCACAGCCGCGCGCGGTGACTGCCCCCCCCCCCCGAGGCACATAGCGCCACGAGACTTTATACCGACAACAAATTACCTATACCTAGAAATGTAGGTGTATTGCTATTCATTCCTTGTCATTCATGATACTCAACCCGAAGTCCGCCGGAACTGACCACACTCAAAACCACATGTCATACATGGCAAGATTCCAAAAAGAAAATGTCCATAATAGTGGTAGTTAATCAATTTCACCTGCAAGCATCACCATTGGCAGCCTCAATCAATAATAAAGCGTAAGTAAACAACTTGCCCTATTCTTTGAGAACGACAACATGGCACCAGAATGGTATTGGAATGAAAGAAAAACACCAAACGTATTCCCATGGATAGGCCGAAGGCATATCCAGTCTCTCAAAGAAAGCGCTCTTCCAACCAAATTCTTTCCGTAAGACTTCACTTCCAACCTTAACACAGAAACCAGCAATGTAGTGCATAACAATGATATAGAGCTATCTACATTTAGTTGACTGAATCAATTATGAAAAAAAAACTCTCGCGAAAATAGTCACCTTAGCCCACATGAATATCAATATCAGCAGATGAGGAGCGAAAAACCACTTCAGAATGAATTTGTACTGTGCACTGGAAAAAACATCTTCTGTATCACACACACACAACAAAGCTATTAAAAAGAAGGCAACTGCCCGTTAGCCCGCGGTCATACTTTGCGACCGCTTTGGTCAACTGTGAACTGGACCTCGCGACCCACATTGAATCGAGACGTAACTTGGTTCAGCAGTCGAATTGCAAACAAAAACTAGTGACAGAGACTTTAGCAACGGGCGGGCTAGATGGCCTTGTTGGATGTACGTTAAAAGGCTCGTCCAAAGACTATCAATTTTCAGACGTTTAGTTGAATAGAGGTTCTCCGTTGCTAATCACTGTGTGCTAGCACTCCTCCCCTTCTTCTCTAGCTTGACCGGCTCTTGGGGAAGTGGAAGGCACAGAGTGAGGTGTGGCCTGATATAGGATGAGCAAGAGGTGTAGTGCAATAGCCGCAAGTGTGTGGGAATGGGAACTAAAAAATTGCATCAGGACGACCCTGCTCTAGGCCGGATGGGTCCCGACAAGGACTATATACGAATCGATCGAGAGAATACGAGAATAACGACCCGCTTTTATGCGCCTCGATTTCAGGTTCGATACGCATATAACTCTTTTTGCAGATGCTCCCGATTTTCTAGTTCCAGACTGTGCAGACTGTCTTCAAGGCAGTGATCACGACGGCTGGAGGCGGCTCGGCTTTAACCCATTGCGGACCGCCGTTATGTGTGCACCTCCGCAGGTTTTTGTAATTTTGTTTACCAGAAACAATGATTTATCAAAAAATTCAATCGCTATGCAAATATATGATACATTCTGCGTCTAAAAAAGTATTTTGAAGAAAATGAGCAGAATGCTGGATAAATTGAACTTCAGAATCATTTCCTGCGTGATGGCGTGCTGCAGCATGTGCAGCACGCGGTCCGCAATGGGTTAATGACGTACCTGAGCGTCAATGGTCGGTGCTATGCTAGCGATCGAGCGTATGACTCGCTATTCGAAGTACGAGTGATGCACCTGCGCTTTGAACGATGTAACGACGAGTTCAATCGTTGGATTCACAGGCACTTCGCTCCCACCCCGAATTGCTCGCCGAGCATGGGTTGCTAGATCAGAAAGCGATTTTTTTTCGCTTTTCGCAGGGCGAAACTTTCCCGCGGGATTCCCAATTCCTTTCCTGACCGGGGGTTCTAGAGAGAAAATTTCGTGCTACGATTCGATAACCGAAGAAGTAGCTTTCTGCCCTAGCGACCCTCGCCCTTAGTGACCAAACTACATTGGTGGAAGAGCATTAAAGGAATCTTCCGCGGAAAAAGCTCCGCCTCCATTACCACAGAAAAACGATACCCCTTAGGCCCCTAGCCTCATGAGCATAGCAAAAAGAACGGAACATAAGCGTTAGTTTCGATAATACTAATCCTACACACAAGACAAAATGATCACTCTTTCCGTGGAAGATTCCTTTAAGAGTCGGCTCAAACCAGAGACCGATCCCATCCATCCTCTAGGGGATGCGTTCCTCACCATCGATCCTTATTCTATGCTTGGGGAGAAGGCTCGCGTTACAGTAACAGCCACACTTTGCGTTTCTAGACTGCAGACAAAGCGAACTCTCTGAGGAAAGAGTGTCTCAACAGTGGAGGGTAGCTACAACATCACGCCTTCCATAGGCGGATCCATGACGAAAACCTGGAAGGAGAGTGTCAGCAGCGGGGGGCGCGTCTCCCTGGGGGAAGGATAGGATAGGAGACCACAGGAATAACGACCGGGGAACCCACAACCATGGCTCAGTACTGTGTAAGAAAAGTATCCAGAGTGGCCGATGTCAGACTCTGCGATTGGAGCGATTCGGTCAAATGTGAATCGCGCGACCGTCGCGCGATTCACATTTGACCGAATCGCTCCAATCGCAGAGTCTGACATCGGCCAGTGAACATACGAGTGCAGAGCGCAAACGGCTCGCGCATGGCGAGAACGAATGTCCGCACGAAAAATCGCGACCTAAGGCCGATGTCATAATTTGCGAATCGAGCGTTGCGCCAGCGAATCGAACTTTGCACCAGCGAATCGAACTTCAAGTGACACTGTCAAGTGAC